AGAAGCACTTCACATCTGGAGGGAGAGACCGAGAATAAACACCCGCGTTGAGTTCAGGAGCAGGAATTGACTCTTAAATTATAGCTCCGAAAACAATTTTCGAAACAAACAAAAAATAGACTTGTTCCGAAATTGGCAAATGAGACAAATCGAAAAATTAATTTTTAATTAAATTAAATTAAAAGATTGGTTGAATTTATATGATTTTGTAAAGCCATTGTCTTCGGATATTTTTGTGATCGATGATCATTTTTTTAAAAATTTAAATAGTTTTAAACCTGATAGTGCACAAATGTGCGAAAACGTTTGTAATTTAATTCCCTCTTTCACTAACTAATTTCTATTAAATCGAAAGTTCATTAGTTCGAAACAAGTAAAACAATTAACATGATTCATATAATTAACCAGGACCAATAATTAGGATCCCAAAATTGGACTTAGAAAGAATTATGTGTCGTATCCTGTGTTGTTAAGTTAAGCTCAACAAGATCCTATGTAGGGGGTCTTCTGCTGTTTGGGACGAAAATTTCTATCGTTCACAAAATTTTAGGATGAGTGTCCTCCAAAAAATTAAGGACCCATATCCTAGGATTTTGCTTTATTTGAGAACACCCCCCGTAGGAAGGACCCCCTTAGGATCCGGGAAACGATGCAATACTTGTGGTTAGTGTTGTTGGTTTCACCGAGACAGTTTATAATGTTGAAGGAATTTTTTGGGTTAAATGTTGTTGGTTTCAGTGAGACCGTATATAATGTTGAAACAGTAATGTTGGGCTTTGAGCTTCCAGAATGCACTATATTTATTGTGGATCTACCCTCATATGTGGCACCACCCTTTAGGTTTAATAATCTTGTTACATGGGGAGAGAAAAAAGAGGGGGTTAGAACTGATGCCGGAACAGAGGAGAAAAATTATGAGGATCAATAGATGGAGCAGTGTAGTCGGCTTCAAACGCACCGAAGACAAAAAGCTTGGCTTTGCTGCACTTGGCGGAAGTTGTAGTTGTACCATTTACAGTGAGTTGTTATTGTGGTCTGTCGAGTCCAGCCCTTGGAGTCGGCCGATCTGAAGATAGCTTTGTTTTTTTTTGTAAATTTGCTCACTCGCCTCCCTGTCTCAGATTGCGTTGAATTGCTTGTAAATGTTTCATAAAACGATGGGCCGTAAACATGGGTGGATCTAGGATTTTCTCGAGGGGGGCGGATTTTTAAAAAAATTTCAAAATTTTTGTCGACCTTTTTTTTTAGGTCGACCAAATAGATTTTTCGAGCTCTCCTAAAGAACTAAAAAGATTCTGTTTTTTTTTCGGCGCGCGCTCAATTCTCAAAATTAATATGTATTGGCATATATTGACAATACTTGACCGTCCAATGACAATACTTGACCGTCCAAATGCTCGTAGCTTAGGAGATATGGATGAAATTACAAATTTTCAACAAATTCAAAAAAAAACCATTTAAAAAAAATCGTTTCCTGATAGTGACAGAAGCATGCATAGCTAGGGTAGGCGTTTGTGTGCCATATGGCCCCGTTGTCTATCCTCTCCGAGTCTCATTTTAATAATTACTTATAACGATGAATTGCCAAATTTATGTAATGAATGACCGGAGAAATTTGTTCTTTCTTTCTTTCTTATTGGCACCTTTGGATAATTTTTCGGGTCCGTCACCAAATTAGGGATTCGACCACCTGACGACCCAAAGAGTCCCCCTTTGAACTATTTTGAAATATATCCTGAGGGAAGCATCCCCCCCCCTCCTTAAATCCGCCCCTAGTTATAAACAATTTTAATTTTCATGAAGTTTTTCATGACATCAGTTTTGTTTTCGGCTCAACCGGTTTCGATCCAAAGTTTGTCGCCTTTGTTGCCGCTCGGTAAATGAGTTCGACTTTTTAAGGGCTGGTAATGAACTTCATCCGATACAAATATGAATTTTTCGTTGCGGTCATTTTTCAACGTTTGTCTATTTATTTTTCAAGTAATTTTTTCCTACGTAATTTTTCATAAATTTTTTCATTCACTATTTTGTACTGCAATGTGTTTTTTGCATCGCAAGTGTTGCGAAGCTCCGCTTCTCCTCTGTGTATAAAATTACAACCGCAAGACGCCTCAACTTCTTCCTAACCTTAGGAGGTGGTTCAATATATTGAATATCAGGGATCAGCAGTTTATTCTGCTATATTGATTTGTATCTCGTATCGGATTCAAAATTAAATCATTGTGTGGTTTTGATTGGCATCGTAAATATCCTTTGCCTTTTCAGATTTGAACTCTGAAATGGAAAGTAGCTCTCTGAACACGTACCTTGAATTAGCTACTTTATTGGAGTATATTCAAACATTAAAGTTATCGAAATTTTTGGGAGAATGCCTAACTTTCATACTGTCGAGGAAATTATCATTTGCCCCCCAAAATTACCAGAAATTTTTGATCACACCAGTGTTTTCAAAATTGGTTTTATCATCTCTCGATCTTCCGTTTTTAATTGCACATAATTCAACCTTTGCGGAGCAACTTTATGGATTACAAAAAGCTCAACTCGGTGGTAAAAATTCGAAACTGATGCTGGTACTGGTTTGCGCCATATTCGACTACTTAGTGCCTTTGTTTAATGAGGTCATCGAAAGCAAGAGTGTCGATTCGTTTCGCTCGTTGAGAAGTTTAAAATTAAAGAATATATTGCCCCCCGTGATAAGGTCAATTGTTATCGCTTTAGATTCTGTGTACAGCATTTTGTATTTGACCGAAGTTACAAATTTTCCTTCGTTTGCTTTCTTCTTGAGTCGCTATCTATTAGTTGAATCTCAAAATGAGGCTAGTATTTCTAAATATCCGAGTTCCAGAGGTAGAAGAGTATCTGCTATCTTTCGTTTTGCTCATTCCGTTTCAAAAAATATCTTACAATTGCACGCAGTTCTCACGTTCATGGTTCAGTTTCAAGACTTCTGGAGTGTTGAAAAGGGGAAAGAAAAAGATGAATCTATTTTGAGAATTGTCGACATCATCCCCACGGCACCTGGAAACGAAAAGAGCTCTCTGCTACTGTCTTGTAATGTGTGCGGTAAACCACGTGAACAGATCTCTGAGCAGGTTGCCTCTGCTGTTTGCGGTCATTTGTTCTGTTTTGCTTGTGCTAAAAGTAGTTTCAATCGGTCTAAAATGTGCCCTAAGTGTAAACTCAAATTTTCGACTGCAAATGTGATCAAATTGATAGAAATGTAGATCAGTTTACAATCAGAGAATTATACAATAAAGTCAAATTAATTTTATAACTTTAGTTAACTTGTTACGACCGAGAAGCACTGGGGGTGGGGGAGGGGTCTGGGAGGCTGTTAACTTGATCTTAATTGAAAGTTTTTCCTTGACAGTCTTTGCCATTTAATTTTTTAGCAAGATTCCAAAATCGAATGGATTATAAAAAGTAGCCCAACAGAACAGGGTTTTAAAAAGTCATTTCGGCAGATCGCACCTATAAATACTTCATAGTTTTTGTTTAAAAAATACATCAAACGTATGTTGGATGAAGTAAAATCTTACTAAAATGTACTAAATAAAAGATTACTGTCTTAGATGTGCAAATTTTATATTAATGACAGAAAAATGAGACCTGTAAATGTTCTGGGCAGAGCGCACGTATATTTCATTTTCGGCAGAGCACACCCTATAAATATGGTTATTTCGGCAGAGCACACGTGATAAATAGGGCAACCACAAAATTGACTTTAAAACGTCAGTTATAGCGCTATCGAATTGACCTTAAAATGGCCCTAAATTGACTTTAAAATTGATCGTAAACCTTCAAAATATGACCAAAAAAATATTCATCTAGAAATATCGAGTTCAACAAGAATTTAAATTCGCTTAACACAAAGTAGTATAATGTAGGCGGGATTTAAGTTTCGCACGAGGCAGGATTTAAGTTTCGCATGGTCAAATACGTTGCTTAATGGCACACTTATTTCTCAATCTGAAAAGCATCACATGTGAACCATGTATTAGGTAGACAATTCCTGAGAAAGACCAAAAATTGATCTTATAAATAGCAGAAATAGATTTTATAGCAGTTACATGGTGAAATTGACCAAATAGCAGTAATTGCAGTTATGGTTGCCGTAGTGATAAATATATATCACGTGCGCTCTGCCGAAAAAACTATATTTATAGGGTGCGCTTTGCCAAAGATGAGACATACGTGCACTCTGCCAAGAAAATTTACAGGTCTCATTTTTCTGTCAGTAATCCAAAATCTCATTTTGGATGCGCTTTGCCGAAATTGAGGGATCAAGTTAATGTCCTCCAACCCCCCCCCCCCCCCCCCAAAAGACCAAGTTAGGATCCTCCATCCCAGCGCTTAATTTAAATTAAATTTGTTAAGCGCTGCATGTAATATGCTCGGTTCTGATTTGGCTGAAAAATCCCAACTTAGAACTAAGTTAACATCCCCCCAAACAGCTTTGGGGGAAGGTTAAATTGGTCAAATGTGAGATATACGTGCGCTCTGCCGAGAAAATTTACAGGTCTCATTTTTCTGTCAGCAATCCAAAATTTCATTTTGGGTGGGCTTTGCCGAAAATGAGGGATCAAGTTAATATCCTCCAACACTCCCCCCACCAAATAGACCAAGTTAAGATCCTCCATCCCAGCGCTTAATTTAATTAAATTTGTTTAGCGCTGCATGTAATATGCTCGGTTCTGTAATATGCTTGGCTGAAAAATCCCAACTTGGAACCCATTTAACATCCTTCCCCCCCCCAAAAAAAAACGGCTTTGGGGGGGTGTGTTAACTTGGTCCGAAATGAGATATACGTGCGCTCTGCCGAGAAAATTTACAGGTCTCATTTTTCTGTCAGTAATCCACGCCGAGCATAAATATTCCGTTTTCTTCGAAAGCCGGAACAATAAATCTAACATAGTGTCTCAATCTTTGTTTCACATGTTTGTAAGGAGAAACGAGATAGTTGAATGCACAGAATAAATTGTGTGCGATTTTGCAGATAAGTAAATGCAGACTTGTTGAAACGAATTAGTTCTTCTCTTAATCTCCTCTCATCTTGTCAGCATCTAGAAATAGACTTAGTAGTGTCAGTCGGCACAAATGAGTGAGTCCAACTCGAGGAGGTTCACAGCTCTAAGCGAAGATGAAGAAGACAACGTCGACTTCATGAGCGCGTCATCGGCGGCGGGTGCAGGCGGTAGACACAAATCAGCAGTGCAGCACCCGGTCACCTGTGCATTCCACGTGCTGTTCAGAACCCTAGCAGTGCTAGTCTACTTCTTCTGCAACTGGTTTACTCATAGTTTTGTCATAGCTTTTGTGCTGATTGCTCTGTTGCACTCAATGGACTTCTGGACTGTAAAGAATGTAACCGGACGTCTACTTGTTGGTAAGCATACTTGTACCCATATTTTGGTTGTTGAAGAGTAATGAACGTGTGATTACTCTTATATAGGTCTTGCTGATTTTTTTGTTCGTTTTTTTCTTCAGAAAAAGTGTGACTTGTGATTTTTTTAAACTGAGTGCATTTCAGTTGCTAAAAGGAAGGCATAATCCACTATCGAACAGCAAAATTGTAAAGGTCAAGAAAAACTTGATCGACTTCTAATTTCGAAGAAAAGAAAACTTATTATCAGATTTCCCAGCGAAATAAAAGTTTTACAGTACCTATTGATCCAGTTTTCTCAAATTGGCTTAATTTTAACATAAAAGTGTCCATCTTAAATTATTCTACAAATTCAAAGAGTTGTAAAGCCATCTATTTTTTTCTTCGAAATTCAAAAGTTGAAGATGTTTGAAAAAAAAAAAACAAGTCGTTTTTTTTTTTCAGTTTCCTTGCGTTTATTACTCTTTTCCAACTGTTTGTTGGCTTTGTTTGTTTTGTAGCATCATCCGGTGATATATTACAATAGGTGGCAGGTACAATTTCAATAGCTGGATCGCTTTTTGTCGTACTTCGCACATTATTTATAATTAGTTTCAAAAGCAAAAGTTTTTGGCAAAAGAATGGTAAAATTTGAGTTTTTGAATAGCATTTCATTTGGCATCGTAATGAATTTACAAAAAATATCTTAGTATTAGAACAATTGGCTGAAAATGAAATGACTATTTCATGCATATGAGTTCTCAAATTTAATACATGCACTACACTCAAAATTACTACCTATTGTAACATATCACTCATCATTACTTGTAGAAATTTATTAAAGAAAGAAAGAAAGAATTTATTTTCTTGATTGGTAAATACATTGACAAAATTAAAGTAATTTATCATTTATATACAATCGAGAGGGACAGCAAACGAGACCATGCGGTCTACCTACAGCTGCCCTTTAGTATAACATCAATAGTAAACAGCATTATGGAAGAAAAATAAATTTGAAAAAAAAAGTGAAAGAGTACCACGAAAATTGTTCAATCTGCTTGATTGGAAAGGAAAGTTCATATGGTTCGCGGCCTATGCTGACTTCAACAATTATGTTATATACAAATAGTTGACCTAGTTTTGACTAAGAAATAATATGTGGTGCTCATTTTGTTTCATTTGTTTTTATGAAAATGCATGCATCTGGTAGCCAATACAAATTGGCTCCTTGTGAACTTGAACTTGATCACTTTTAAATAATCAACCGTCCTATTGTCACACAACAACAGGGGGGGGGGGTAAAGTGATCTAAGTAGCGGATGATACAGACGGTGGAAAGTTATCACACGTGGTTTGTCTGTTGTCTGTCTTGTAATTGATGCAGTGTGTTTTATATTGTTGTTGTTGTAGGTCTGAGGTGGTGGAATGAGGTGACAGAGTCTGGTTCGAGTGAGTGGTTCTTCGAGAGCAGGCCCAGGAACGAGAGAAACCTTCTCGTCTCTGCCTCGGAGTCCACTGTGTTCTGGGTCGCACTCATAGCCGCCCCCTCTATCTGGTTCTTCCTATTCCTCACCACGCTATTCTCTATGAAGGTCCGTATACAATCTCACATCCTTTGCCTTTTCAGTCCTGATTCGAACGACATTAAAAAAAATCTCCACTGTCCAGAAAAACCGGTTTGAAGTTTTTATTTTTCGTCTACTTTCGTGCAAGAGCGATTGCGTAACGTTCGTTATATATGAATAAAGAAAAACTTTTTTGGAAGCTTCATTTAGGGCTTCTCTGGCAAAACAAATTTTAAAAACTATTGAAAGTTTTTACTGCAAAAAATTGGAAAAAAAAAATAAATTTTTTTAAAATTTTTTTTGTCTATTTATTTTTCGAAGACAATTGGAGTCGTTTGTGCCTAACTGTTTGCCAATTGGCCTATTTTACTATGAATGTTTTTTACTATGCCTAAGATGTATTTTTGTACAGATCTGTTTATCACTCCAAGCAGAAAAAAAGACTAATTTGAAGAAAAAAAAATGTATGTTCTGACTATGGTCTGAACTCTGTGCTCCTTGCAAGGTAATCGGCTCTCTTTGTTGTTTTTCGTGGATGTTTGAGTCATTAGAATTTGTTTAACTGTCAATGAACGTAGTGAAGCCATTTATGCAGGTATTATTTGTTTTTTTGTGTTTTTTTTTTTTTAAAGAACAGTCCTATTAATTTTTCGCGCTCAAGTTTGAGTTTTATTTTTTTTTAAATTTCAATACTAACCTGTAATTTAATTGTAAGTCAATTGCTCTGAGCGCCGTGTCTGGTAAGCTCAACAAGAATTTTCTGATTCTGGAGTATTTAATACGCTTGCGATTAGCAAGCGTTTTCAAATTGGAATGCAGATTTTTTTCCGGGTGAAAAACTAATTAAACAAAATCACTTGAATCACTTTACCGGTAGATTATATGAAATCAAAAGTCAGTTGTTAATTCATCGCACTTGATCTGGAGGTATTGCAGTTGCCTTTGAAACGTTATGTCAAGGTTTCAAGTCACGGTCAGATCTTTCTCCTTTTTTGTTGTCTGAAACTGAAATTTTTACCCGAGAAAATTGATTAGTCGGATTTCAGTTTGTCTGTTTATATTTTGTCGGCTTAGTTGCCTGCCTAAATTTTTTTGCACTGCTAGCAGTTTTCCTTTTGGTCTCATGTGTCGTTGATTAACTCATGTAGATTTTTAAAATTACTACACCTGATTGGTTTATTTTCCGTTTTTTCTTGGGTTCTTTTCGCTCAGAAACTTCATATGGTCGAAATGTTTTCGGCTCTTGTTTTGTTGGTTTTGTCAACTTTTTTTTGCATCGCTATAAGAATAAAAAATGATTTTTATTTTTAATAAATCAGTTCGGGTGGTACTATAAAAGTTAAAAGTTGCTCAAAAATTAAAAATACTAAAAGCTGGCTAGTAGTAGTTATTTCTCGTCTGTTTTCTTTAATTAGGTTTTTCTTAAATCCAAAACATATGATTTTTGTTTAAATGAAAACCGTTTCTTTTGGTATTTCTGTTTTCGGATCAATTGGCGTTTAACCACGTGTTGTGGCTTAGTGGTCTCTCGTAAACAATAAAAACTTGCTCTCTGCTAGTTGTTTGGTTTCTCGACTATTTTTCTAAGATTGAGTTCGAATGTCCAAAAAATGTTGATTTTGTTATGAATACCTTTTCCTTTGGTATTTTTGTTTTCGGAACAATGGCGTCCATCCAGTCCAGGCGTTGTGGCTTGGTGGACTCGCAAATACTAAAAACTTGCTCAATGCTTCGTATTTCCGAAAATTTGATGAAATTTTTATGACAACTATTTTTATGACAACTATTTTTTTGTTTTTCGAACGATTGGCGTCTAACCACGTGTTTTTGGCAGAGTGGAAACTCGGGTGATAATTAAAGCGTGCCAAATTTTGGAGGGTGCGTTTCTATTTTTTTTTGTGCGAGTGATTTTTTCGTATTTCCAGTTTTTTATTCCACTTAGTTGTTTCCATCTCACTGATAATTTAGTAGCTTGCAATGGTTCTTTCGTTTTGTCGCAAGTGATGCGAAAAGCTCATCGCCTCTGCGTCTTTTTAAGTTATAGAACGAATTGAAAATATTTGGAACATTCTTCTCTTTATAGTTTGTTCCAAAAGAGCTTGCTTAAAGTTTCTCGCCAACAAAAACAATCTATCAATGGAACTTGTACCAAGCTACCAAAAAATTGTTGCAAAATTTCATTGCTAGATAGCTGGTATAGAAAGTTCAGGGATTCGAACCAACTGTCGACAACTTTCTTTGGTTTTGTTTTAAGCCAGCCATATTTAACTCAGTGACCTTACATTTGTCTGAAGGTGCCGGTTGCGGCAATTTATACCTATCAAGTTGGGGAGCGCGCGCCAAAGAAACTCAATTTTTTTTGGTCAAAATTTTCCGAAAAGTGTCTAGAAGCGCTTTTTTGTCCTGTTTTTGTTTCAAAAGTTTGTTTCCTGCGCCGAAATTTTTTGTCAAAACAAGATCTTAATAGTAATGTTATAGATTATATATAGTGTTCAGGTAACTATCACTATTAGTTTCGTATCCGTTCGAAATTATCCTCCAGTTTGTCTACGTCTGATCTGGTATACCATGAAGGTAGCCATATACTGTGTGCATTAATAACGTTTAATATGCAATGCTACATTTAATAATATGAACGGATATAAATAGCTATAATATATGATATAATTTATCTATTATATATTTAAATGCGGGCTTCACTATCTCGCCATGTTTAAGCTTTTTGAGCGTATTATTCTTGCATGTCTAACAAAAGAATTTTTTCACGTTAAAGCTATATATTGCAATGTTTAAGGTTTTTTCGATTTTCCAGCTTAAATTCATTGTTTATTTCAACAAGTTTGAAATAAGCAACCCATTAGTAGGATTTTGTCAGAGTTTTCCCAGGTTTTCCGATTCTGGCCTCTATATGAATAACCAAATCCTTTAGGAAATTTTTTCAATTTTTGAATTTCTCGACCTGTAGTTGGGTGCTGTCAAGGTACTCTCAGGGGTTGCGAATCTGGCCTCCAATTCTCACTTCTCAAATCTTTTTAGTTTTCGAGATATGACGTTTTTATGATTTTTTCAAAAAACTAGATTTTAAAAATTTTCAAAGTGTTGAATATCCTAGACCTGTTGTTGGATATTGTGATGGTACTCTCAAGGGTTGCGAATGTTGCCTCTGATTATGGCTGCTCAAATCCTTGTAGTTTTTGAGATATGACGTTTTTTTTTGGATTTTTCAGAAATTTTCAGAAAACCTAGATATAAAAAGTTTCACAAAACTTGAAATTACCGTCTCTGTAGTGAGACTCTGTCAAGGTACTCTCAGGAGTTGCAAATTTTGCCGCCAAATTTGACTGCTCAAATTTTTGTAGTTTTCGAGATATGACGTTTTTATGATTTTCTCCGAAATTTTGAAAAAAAATGTTAAAAAATTCCAAAAGTTTGATTATCTCTGGAATCTGTGACGGTAGTCTCAAGGGTTGCGAATCTTGCCTCTGAATATTGGTGCTCAAATTCTTTCAGTTTTCGAGATATGACGTTTTTATAGGATTTTTTTCAAAGTTTTTCAGAAAAATTAGGTATAAAAAATTTCTCAAAACTTGACATTTTCAATTCTGTAGTGAGGCTCTGTCAGGGTTTTCTCAGAAGATGCGAGTTTTGCCTCTCAATTTGACTGCTCAAATCCTTGTAGTTTTCCGGATATGACGTTTTTTATGATTTTTTCCGAAATTTTCAAAAAAAAACATGTTAAAAAGTTCCAAAAGTTTGAAGATCTCAATCCTGTTATTGGAATCTGTGAGGGTACTCTCAAGGGTTGCGAATCTTGCCTCTGAATATTTCTGCTCAAATTCTTGTAGTTTTCTAGATATGACTTTTTTTTTAGTTTTTTTTTCAAAATTTTTCAGAAAAATTAGGTATAAACAATTTCACAAAACTTGAAATTTTATCTCTGTAGTGAGGCTCTGTCAGGGTATTCTCAGAAGTTGCGAGTTTTGCATCTCAATTTGACTGCTCAAACCTTTGTAGGTTTCCAGATATGACGTTTTTTTGTGATTTTTTCAAAAAAAATTTCATGAAAATTAAATCAATTTTTTTTCAAAGTTTGAATTTCCTAACCTTTAGTAGTTGGGAGGCTGTCAGAGTAAACTCAGTGGTTGCAAAATTGGCCTTCAATTAGGAATGCCCAAATCGTTTTTGTTTGAGAGATACGACAATTTTTGTGATTTTTTTGGAAATTTTCAGAAAACTCAAATTACAAATTAATTCGTAAAACTGAAATTCCCATCCCTGTAGTTGTGTACTTTTAAAGATTGCGAATATTGCCATCAAAAACGACTGCTCAACTTTTGGTGGTTATCGAGATGTGATTTTCTTTTTTTAGAAAACCTAAAGTGAAGTTTCTCAAAATTTGAGTTTCCTACCGTTGTAGTTAGGTACTGTAAGAGTACTCTCATGAGTTGCAAATCTTGCGTCCAAATGCGACTGCTCAATTGCTTTCAGTTTCTCAGATGTGACGTTTCTTATTTAAAATTTCACAAAATTTTATGCTTTTTCAAAATTTGTATGAAAACTTGAATAAAAAACTTAGCAAAGTTTGTAATTACGAACCCTGTAATTGGGTGCTGTCAGAGTACACTCAAAGAATACTTTTTGGGTTGTTGAAAATTCGAAGCACCGGAGATGCGTCACACGCTAGTCTTTATGTGTTTGTATATGTATTATGTTTATGTTCTATGTATATGTATTATGTATATGTATATGTTTTATGTATTATGTGTCGGTATTCTATATATGAATGTATTATGTGTTATGTATATGTATTATCTATCTATCTATCTATCTAGCTATCTATCTATCTATCTATCTATCTATCTATCTATCTGTCTGTCTGTCTGTCTGTCTGTCTGTCTGTCTGTCTGTCTGTCTGTCTGTCTGTCTGTCTGTCTATCTATCTATCTATCTATCTATCTGTCTATCTATATGTATATGCATATGTTTATGTATATGTATAATGAAGGTATATGTATATGAATGTGTTTTGTATTATGTATATGTATTATCTATATCTATCTATCTATCTATCTATCTATCTATCTTTCTTTCTATCTATCTATCTATCTATCTATCTATCTATCTATCTATCTATCTAATCTATCTATATATATATATCTATCTATCCATCTATCTATCTATATGTATATACATATGTATATGCATACGTATATGCATATGTATTTGCATATATGTATGCATATGCATATGTCTTTGCATATGTATTTGCATATGTATATGCATCTGTATTATCATATGTATATGTATAGCTGCCTTTCTCTTCTCTCCATTAGCTGCCTTTCTTTTCTCTCCAATTCTCGTTGTTCCGCCCCTGCCTCTAGCGATTCGGTGATATCACTTATTTTTTGTCGTACACCCCTCCTAGTTCTGGCACATTCGTTGATTGGAAACAAATTGTAATTAATTTCTCTGCGTTTTCTCCTTATCGGCTATTTCTATTCGTGGGGTCGTAGTCTGCTTGGAGCTTTTCTACTGTCCGCCTGGATGGGTGTATCCGTTGCTTTCTTTTGTTGTCTATTCGTGTTGCTTATTGGGTATACAAGCAAGATAAGTCTCTTGCTTGTATTGAATTTTTCAGTTTCAAATTCTGCTATGTAGAGTTTGAATGCAGCTGTATCGGTTTTGCTTTTAGGATGGTGACAGTTTGCTTACGGCTTGTTTTTGGTTGTCAAAAATTCTGTGGTGAGCGTTTCCTGTTGGCTAATTCGCTTAGCACTCTGTTGTCCAAATACAAGTAGTCAAGTAATCCCATCTTTGATGCCGCCAGATGTTTTATGTCGAAATTGAATGGTAAGAATCTATCAATCCATCTGGTTCTCCTGGATTGATTGGTGTTTGATTTCTGTGATAAGTTTATTGCGCTGAATTAAGCTTGATGATCTGTAGTTATGGTAAATTCTTTGCAGTAAAGGTAGTATTTGAATGTTCAGCTGGCCAAATTACCCAAAATAACTCTAGCTAGTTAGTGCAGTACTTAGTCCCATGATTTAAAGAATCTTGACTCGTATGAAATTGGCACCCATCCCTCAGATAAGTGTTGTTCTAATGCCGCCACTAGTCCTGCGGTAGACGCGTGACACACAATTCTTATATCCAGGTTTTGGTCGAGATGTCTTTTTTTTCTGATTTCCGCCACCATCTCGATTATCTTCTGAATTTTTTTTTTCGTTCTCATCGAGCCAATAAAACCTATGTTTTTAACTGTTCATCAGTACTGGTCTCAGAGATGCTCTTTTCGCTGCTAAATTGGGAATATATTTCCGAAAAACTTAAACAGTTAAAGAGTTTTATAGACACGATACATCATTTACAATATTTACACGATACAATATATTTCGAACTTAGCAGCGGAAACTCTTTAACTGTTTAAGTTTTTTCGGTTCATTCAGGAATGACACCGGGTTCCCTTAGTCTGTGATTACAATGATCGCTTCTTTTGTTTTTACTTGTACCCAATTTCAATTTAAATCTTCCTTTCTAAATTCTGCATTGTTTTTCGTTTTTAATGTTTCATTAATCGACAATACTGAAGATTGGTCGTTTAGCGTTTCCCAACCGTTGGTGGGTTTGTATTGTGAAAGCAATCGTGTCAACTTTGTCCTCCTGCTGTTTCTGTTCATCATTGCCGGGTTCTTCTCCCTCCTCTACGTAGTTCACATTTGTGGTTCGACTAACTTTTTGAAAGTGACCTCTTCTACCGCGTTTAGAACAGATTTTGTCGTTTGCCGGTGAGGCTTGGAGGTGTCACGCCGAGAATTGTTTTGTGCACTTTAAATACTGTGTTTCTTTGTCGTTGGTTTTGCCTTCCAGTTTGGTCTCGTTGCCCTTGTTGGTTTTGATTTTTCTGAAAATATGGGGAGTTTCCTCGTCTCCTGCTTTTTTCTTGCAGTTCGAGGTTTTTTTTTGGTTTATGGAACCAACTGGTTCCTGTTTAATCATCCCGGATGAATGGGAATGTCCTTGGCTATGACTTCTATGTCTTTTTTTTCTGTTGATCGAATAGTCTTAAGCTTCATTGGGTGAACGAGTTTCTGCTGGTATCTCCTGAAATTCTCTCGTTGAGCATATGAGTCGGAACGTATCTCGTACCCATTCATCATCTCTATCCCCCGCAATCTGCTTCAGAGCACAGTTTCACCAATTCCGCGTGGAATTGTTCTAAAGATTCGTTTTTCTTCTGCACGCGACATATGAAGTTATATCTTTCGAAAGCTAAATTTTTTTCACTTATGAACACGTCTTCAAGTTCGGTCCATAGGTATCTAGTGGACACGATTTGAATATCTTTATTGGGTTTTCTCTGGCGAAATTGTCTTTGTGCTTCCTGTCTGAGGCATAAATATTTATAGCTATTGACTTTGGTGTCCGCCTCATCCCTTAGGACTACGACAGTACACCTTTTGTGTCTATCTTTATTATCTCGTTTTCGTTATTTCTTTCCTGATTCTGGTATTCAGTATTCCCGATCTCGTTTTTGAGTTTTCGTTTCATCATCGATCGCTTCAGCTAATCGTGGTGTTGGTGGTTGGATTGTAGTCGTGAGTCGATTTCGGAGTAATAGTTATACATCGATAATTTTGTACTTCGATACGTATCTTTCTCTAATATAGCCATTTGTATTCCTACAATCCATTTTGGCCATTCCACGGGCGGTTGAGTTGTGTGTCAAGGCCAGAATAGTGGAATACTGAGCTGATTCTTTTGATCCGAGCCTCATGACAGCGCCATATTAAAGATTATATTTAGTGTTCAGGTAACTATCACTATTCCGTATCCGTACGGAACTATCCTCCAGTTGGGTACTCGAAGTACATCTCAAGCTCAAGTAACAAGATAAGGCGATCAAGGTCTATCATTGTAATTTATTGTTAGTTGACAATATGGCGACAATGAATACGCGCATAACCAGACATGTCTTTGTCTGTTCTGGTATACCATGAAGCTCACCGTAAACTGATAGCCTTCAAGACGCAAACATGAATCATTGTGCGCATAAATAATTTAGTATGGCAATTTTTACTTATTGTAATATGAAAGGATATGTATATAGGTTTGGGAGAGCTAAGAAAATTAATATGGTCGACTTAAAAAATGGCGCTCCGAAGGTTCAAATTACGAATTTTTCTGCGCTTTTTTTGATATCATTGTGTGCAAATCTTTGTAGTTTTTTTAAGTGTTCTTTGTAAAATTAAGATAAGATCATGTTTTTTTTTCATTGGTATTTGTCAAAAGCTCAAACATTGAATGCTTGTACGCTGAACGCCATGATTAATTTGTATTCCCTGATTTTAGTTTGCTTGGATGATGATAGTGCTGCTTGGCCTGACAGTGACTGGGTCGAATCTCTATGGCTACACGAGGTGCAGACTGGGGTCGAAGCGCACACTGTCAGGGGCAGCGGCACAGTTTCTGGGAAAGCAGGTGAATATAAAACCATGTACCCTCTCTGGTATTAGGTCACTATGAACTTTTATTCCGTTATCAAGTCACAGTGCAACGTGGGCATTTTATTTCAAAGAAGTTATTCATTTGAGATAGGGGGGGCAGTGATGTCCAGTTGAAAAAAAAAAAATTTAAATTTAAATTGCTAAAGAAAATTATAAAAAATGTTGACATCAGTTTAAATTTTTCCGAAAACAATTTAAATTTTTCTTTAGAAAGTCAAATTATTCTTCAGACTGTTTTTCAGCAGTTTTTCTGCCAATTTCGGGGAGTTCTCGCAATTTTGACAAAAATCATAACAAAGCAATTTTTTGGGCATGTCTATTTGCTACAAAAGTTCATCAAATTTGTCATGAAATTTAAGATTGTTTGCTTTTTCAGCGCAACTGTGAAATGTGAAATTAATTATCATGAGTAAATTCTGTACTTTGGCATCGGATCGAATACCGCCGGAGCATTTAATTTTTTTTTTTCAATTTAAATTGCTCAATTTAAATTTTTCATTTAAATTGAGTGGGCTCATAATTTCACATTGAATTAAATTGAATTTTAAATGAACATTAAATTAGTTTAAATTGTTTTTAAATGGACATCACTGGATAGGGCGATATAGATTCCGAGGAAATAAAAGTTGAAAACCAATTAATTTAGCTAATTGACGTAGGGTTAACAACAAGTTTAATAAAATCAATTAAATCAAATGCTGACATGCTTATGCCTGCTTACATGTTTAACTCCTGGGTGCAATGTTTGTTACTGTTATATTTTTTCAGAATTAACTTGGTTTTTTTGTCGTCTTCATGGGTTTCGTCCCTACTTTTGTCGGCTTACTTGCCCGATGTATTAAATTTTTCTAAATAATTTTTTTTTTAAATTGCTTGCTTTATAATAAATTTAAATACAAGGTGAGTTTATAGGTTCAGTGAAAACAACTGGCTGTTGGAGGTGCTCTGCATGATCAACTAAGCCCATTTTTTTCTCAAAAGTTAAGGCCTTCGGAAAGAACAATTTTTTCACCAATTTTCTTCTGTTTTTCTCGCAAACTACCCGTCCAAATCTCTAATACTTAATTCCATCCTCCAAACGATTTGTGGGGAAAGTTCCCTGTATACTTGTTTGCGACCAATTTTTTTTATACAAAAAGTTATGGCCCGCGGAAAAGTTTAAAATTTTAGTTTTTTTTACCGTTTTTTGAAGTTTTCATTGTTTCTGGAAAACTACATTTACAAATCTAATATTTTGGGTTCAATCGCAACAATCTATTGTGGAAAACGCCCGGGCATATTAAACTAAGCCCAGTTTTTAACACAAAAGTTAGCGCCCTCGGAAAAGACATTAATTGTTTTTTTTTTACCGTTTTTGAATCTATTTGATTTTTTTTTTTTCGAAAACTACCATCTGTAATCTGAGTTATGCGTTAAAGCGAAAAAACACGTTTTGTGAATTTTTTTCTGTATAAGCGGCATCGTGCATAATTTTTTAACAATTAAAGCTACGACTCTCGGAAAAGTTAAAGTTTTCTCGGAAAAAATCATCGTTTTCTGAAAATCCAATTTTTTGTTTTTTTTTTAGAAATTTTTCGACTTTTCTTATAAATTATCCTTTGAAATCTGAGATGAAGGGTTCAATCGAATGAACTGGTTGCGAGACATTGTCCTGTAGAAGTGGCGTCACCATAATTTTTTGTAAGAAAATTGTAATGTCTTTGCGAAGATATCAATTTCTCAGAAGTTTTCACCCTTCTCTTCTATTTTAGTGCAGAAACAACTATGGTTTTGCGCAAAGTCCAGTTTTTAAAGTTACCCATTTTATCACACATCAGTATAACAAAGTTATAAAAACACCTACCTCCAGCTTTAGCTGGGCCCCTAGTTAACTTTGATCGAGACATACAAAAACTTTTGTATTTTTTTAAAAAATTTTTGTTTCGTATTGCAAGTGGTGCGAAGCTCCGATTCACTTCTGTTTATGTGAATTCCTCAGACCTATGGTGGAACGCTGTCAAGTTACTTCCAGGGTCTACGAATCCGGTCTTAAGATATTGCTGCCCAAATCCTTGAAGTATACGAGATATGACGATTTTTTCAATGACGATTGCAATGGCAATTTCTATGATTTTTCAATTATTTTTCACGGGAAGAAAGGTCTTTAGTCTTTGTTAAATATGCTGTCTTGAATAATAAATGGCAGAAATTGAGACTGTTTTTTTTTGCTGATAGAATCAAATAACTAAGTTGAAAAAGCATCTCATTACCAGTAAGAGATAGTGATTTTTACACATGTGAATCTAGTGTAATACTAAGGCATTTTTCCAGCCAAAAACGCAAATATTAGTGCTATTTTGGTGACAGTTTTGACGTAGACTGCTTTCATAGCATGTGGTTTGACATTCGATTAATACTTAGTTAGAACAGTTGATGCATATTAATTCAGCAAATGAACCGACAAAAGCTATTTGTTTCATGCAACAGTACAATAATTATACAAGCAAAAATTGTTTGATATGATGAATTCTTATTTTTCCAACTTAATTCGGAAATATTAGTGTTAATTTTGGGAGAGTTCATTTTAATTAATAACTAGCTATTAAGTACGGCCAATGCTAAGGATATTAACACGGACTGTTATTTTACAAATAGCTTTTTACCTCCAAGGTATCATAGATCTGTAGCGTAGATGTAGGGAAGGAGACCCGCAATAAAATAAGAGGGTTCGAAGCTGGGCAGGGTCGGATGTTTTAAATAACTTTTTCGTGTATTAGTTAAAATGCGTCGGCTGTATAAATTGAGGCATGTTAGTTTGTAAGTTTCTTTTTCAAATTAACTGGTACTGCTAGTGCGTCATAACTGGCTTGCATGACTTGGCAATTATGTAAATGCATAGTTGGCGTGGGTCAGTTAGAAGTTTTGTAGACGCAAAGTTACAGTAGTTACTATATATCATGCATGTTTTTAGAAGGAGCACTACTCCATCGACCTGAAAAGGCAGTGGGAACATTCAGGGCTTCGTTCTGATACCACAGTTTTGTGTTTCTTTGTTTTGCTATTTGCGAATGAGTACATTGAAAAGTGGAAACTTATTTTCTTTTGCTTATCTAGGTGATTAATGCGGGGGTTGCTGAAATGCAGCAACAGAATTCATCTTCTAAAAGCCAGAATTTGACGAACGCCTAAATAGATGATTCAACCGATCGATTACTTCCAAAAGTGACCTTCATGTCCTAGGATCATGACAGCTTGGCCTTATTGAACGTCAATAGTAGTGCTATAAGAGGAAATGAACTAACTAGTTTTGGATTATTGCTACATGAAGCCGATATATTGCATTAATAATCATAGTTAGTCATAATAATTAGGTTGGTGAGTGTTGAAGCACGTTTTTAATCTTTGGTGTTCGGCTCATCTCAATCAGCATTATGAATAATTTTAATGAGGTTCAATGATGTATATTTGTGGCAAATTGAGATCAACCGTACAATCCCCTCCCTCCCCCCCCCCCCCCCCCCTTTAGTGACCAACCGTAGACTTTCCCCCCTAGCCACGTTAAATTTGAAAATTAATTATGTATAATGTATGCGTGTCGAACAAACGCGCACATAAAATTAGCTGTCACAATTTTTATGTGGAATTGCATTTGAATGCTGTTAATACTCTTAACTAACGTATTTTCAGTCAGTTTTCTAAAAAATGTAAGGTATACTCAAAGTTATTTTCCGAAAAATCTCGAACTTCTCCCCTCTAAAGCAATGGGGGGGGGGGGGGGGGGGGGGGGAGGGGGGATTGTACGGTTGATCCTCAAATTGGTTCCATGTCATTATATTGTAGTAATTTAAATTGGGCTTTTAGTTGGATCCTAACATGATTCTTCTTCTCGTACCGAGTGAATTTGCTTGGTACTGTACAAAAATTGAAAACAAGAGTTGAAAATTGTTCACCAAGTGCCGAAAATTTATAAGAAAATAACCTTTTCAAGGCCCAAAGCAAAGGCGAGCAATAGATTGGATGCTCAGTCTATGAAGTAAAAAATTAGCAATAAACCTATCAGGCGCGGATCTAGGAATTTCTCGAGGTCTTCCAGATCCCTATAAAGACCCAAATTTGACCAAATTTTCTGCGCTGCAGGCAAATTTTTATAAAAGGCCAAAACCGGCGTTTTTAGGAACTTTTGAAAAAAAATTTTGACCAAAAAGTTTTAAAAAAATGCGTTTTTTGGCGCGCGCTCCCCATCAAAATTAGTATATATTGGCGCCACAGGCGCCTTTAGAAATTTTTAAGGGTCCGTCACCAAAAAGGGATATCTCAAAATAGTGCAAAGGGAGACCCTTTGGGTCGACAGGGGGTCGAATCCCTGAGACAGGGGCGTCCGCCCCCCCCCCCCCTAAATCCGCTACTGAAACCTATATAATTTTGGGGAGCGGTCTTGTACCATAAAAAGTGGAAATTGTTTCTTTTAGCAGGCCAACGTAATTTTCTCATGCATAACTGATTGACATATTTAAAAAGACGCTCAGTATGGGAATGAGCGTCTCTAAGTGTGAAAATGTGCTCACGATTTGTCAACAAAACTCGGTTGCTTTTTAAAAAGAAGATTTTATATTGTCTTCTAAAAATTGGGCTACCAAAGAACCTATTGAGACCGTTTTTTTTTGCAAAAAATTTAAAAAATTGATTTCTAAAAGAAATGTTTTCTAAAAGAAACTAGCACCTATTGAGACCGGTTTTCGTGCATAAAATATCAATAATAGGTTTTTAGCATTAACAAAACCGTCTCAGAACAACTCTAAGTTCACTGTAATTTCGAAGCAATGTACAACATGACTAAATGCGTAAAGCATAATGAATATATTTTTTATTATTCGGTATTCGGTGTTATTAGCATCAGTTCTCAAATTGAAGATCAAATTAACTCAGTTGAAAACAACCTTTTAATTCTTGGCTAACTGGCATTTTCATTCAATTGGCTGTAATTTGATGCGGGTTTCTGAAGTACTGGTTAAACTGATGTCATAAATAATTTTAATCTTTTGCCTATGTTTTTAGATGTTTTAATCGTTTGTATGTGATAGTTGTATATCTGCTGAAATTCAGTGTCTAAATACGTATTTGAACCCTTAAATCGTGGGTCAACTTGTTGACTCACCAAGCTCAGTTTATTTTTTGTGCACTCAAGGCGATTGATAGAGCTTTTGAAGAAACAATGAAGTACAAAACTTGCTTAAAATTTAATCAGAATTCATATGGTGCAAATTGTTTTGCCTAGAGTTGTACCCCAAAATGGATCATTTTTGGCTTTTTAATTCAATCAAAAATTACGCTAAAACTAACGGATCCGTTTATAGCAAAACTATATCAAAGTGAAGTTCTTACGTGTCTATGTTATAGAGGAAAATAATTTCCAAAAATTGTATACATAGAATTATTTTTGTTTGATAGCCAAAAAGTGTCATCTTTAATATACAAATCAGCAATTTTTTAAATTAAAATAGATCTTAACGTTTTGCGCAATTTTTCTAAAATATATCCTTTTTGAACTTTATTGTTCTTTTTAAGAGGCTGAATTTGATATAGTTGTGTCAACAATTGAACGAGTGGTTTTGGCGTAATTTTTCAGGTAAAATTTTGAGGATGAATTTCGCAAAACAGGTAGCACCAAATTAATTTTGCTCAAATTTTTTCTTCAGCTAACCCAATTTTTTGTCAACCCAATTTTTTTTTTTGCTTATCGTGTGGATAGTTTACATGAGCACTGTGAAGCTCTGATTTAAATTATCAGGACAAAACAAAGAAAAATTTGCAACTCATTTTTCTCAAATTGGGTTGACTTATAACAAAGCATGATGAGGGCAAATTTTGCTGAGAATTGTAGCAGTGTTAATATTGTTCAATTTATTTCCCATTCGTGTAAAAAAACCTTGTTAAATTTGTTAGGCTTCATTGGAGCTGTTTGATGTAGTTTCGTTGGCAATTTAAACAGTTGTTTTGACGTCTTTTGTATTTATTGACTGACTGAATAAGCCATAAGTGATAATAAGCCGTTTTTGGGGCTAGATAGAAGTTTTTGGGGCAGCGGTCTGGGCCTGAATTTTGCGACATGTTTTGCACCAGATTACTTCTGCTAAAATTGTAAGCAAGTTTTGTCCTGATACTGTTTTGGCTAAGGTGAACCCAATTTGAGAAACAGCTGTTTTTTTTTCAAAATTAAATGAGCACTATAGGGTCAGTTGCACGAGTCATTAGCAGTGAGAGCTCTCTAAATTGTAGAAATTTGGTTGCTATATTTTGGCGGTGCTGATTTGTCTGATCTTATTTTGAGAAAAGAGCGTCTTTTTTGCATCATAGAAAAGCTATGAAACAAAAGGCGCCTACCCAGTGAGTTTAGCCAGAGGTAGCTTTCTCATAGAGTAATTTCAGATTAGGTACACCGTCTGTTCGTCATGCTATCCTATTTTTAGCCGAATAGATTCGCGCAACTTCTTAGTCTAATACCAATCTTAATCTTACTCGTATATCTCCTAGTCTCAATAGATCTAGTGTATACTGGTAGTTGCGGGTTAGCTTTATGGAAGTTGTCCAAAGGAGAACAACTGTCTTCTAAGATTTATTCAAATTGTGCTGGTGCCGAAACTACTAGTGGTTTCAGCACTACAAATAATTGTCAGTGTTAATTATGGAATATGGTTGGTTAGTTAGTAATATTTTATAGGGATAGTTTTATCAATAATATAGTTGCTTATAAGTACTAGTTTTAAACTGGTTCCACCAGATCCAATCGATCAGCACAAGGAAAAGGTTGAAATTAGAGAAGACGGAAGCAACATCAAGTCACAAGCCACAACTTTTATTAACCTATCTTGTTTGGCGTCCCACTTATTTGGAAATAAAACTACCAAGTCTGCAATCCTGAAAATTTTTACATTCATTCCAGAAAAGAAATACTGGAAACCTGATTGCAACGTTCTAATCCAGTTTGCATTTTTAAGACCCGTCATGTCATCGATTTGCCTCCATGTGCCAGGGCTAAGGAACAATTAATTGGAACCCATTTAATTGCAATTAATTGGATCCAATTACTTGGTTTCCGAGTCCATCCATTTCCAATTAATTAATTGCGGGGTTTCAATTAATTGCATTTATAATCCACTATTTGAAACTTGCTGCTCCATTTTGTTTTATAGTTGCCAATTGCGCAGCGTGATTTGTATATATTCCGAGTAGACTCAGTTATCGCCACATTTGCTTGTGTTTGGCTGGTGTGGTGTCAATTATGTAATTTGCGCACAAAATGCTGCTTGCTTTCCCGTGACATGTTTTTACCGCCATTATTCTTCTTTCAGAGAACAAGGTTGACCATGTCTATGGATAAGGCTTGTGTTTTTACGGATAACAACGATGAAATAGGAAAATGGAATTATAAATGTGGAATGCGCTGATGTTGTTGATGATGGTCATGATGTTGTTGATGATGATGATGATGTTGATACGCTTGACGCGGGGAGAAGCAAAGACCCATGCTCACACCATGGCGAACAAAACTCGAACCAGGGGGAGAGGAGCCCGTCAGCGTGTTTAGCCTATGCCACGCTGTCAGGCGATCCTCTTTTCATCAACAGTTCACCCAAGGAGTAGCCGACCATGGGGAGAAAGTGCATGCAATAAAAACCCCGATTGGGAGGCGCCAAACAGAAGCTTTGGTTTGGGCATACCTGTGTCACAACGTGGAAGCGAATCCCGGTCCATGGAAGTGCCCAGTGTGCGATTGAAACTTGAAGAGAACTGAGTGTGTAGTGAAGTGCAACAGGTGCCGAAAGTGGGCCCACTGGAAATGTACATCGCTCGGCGAAAATGGTCGCTGGGACACCACTTTCAGAGCGAAATGCTGTTTGGAGGAAGAGAGCATACAAGAGGAAGAAGTGGCAGTCCAAAACAGCGCCAGGTCAAGCAAACGAGACAAGAGGTGGGTACAGTGGAAAAGGAGGCGGGAAAGGAGGCAAGAGAAAAGGGACGAGAGGTGCAAAGAGAAAGAAAGGAGGATAGGGGGACAGGCAAACACCACCGTTTGGACGTGGAAAATAGAAAGAGCACGAGTGGATTTCCCACACCGAAATAGATTTACAGAAATACAGAAAGTGATCGCTAAGAGCTCCATCGAGGTCGTCCTGTTTTCGGAACTCTTCGAAACAACAAGAGGGTTCTAATGGATCAAGGCTGGAAACCTATACTGTGTGTTAGTACACTGGGAAAAGAGTGGCGTTTTCCTGAGGGATAAATGGGCGGTGGAGTGGTGTGAACAGGGATGCAAGAGACAGTGGCGAAATAGGAGCACAGCATTGGATGTCAACGGTGTAAGGTTCGTGTCAACTTACCAACCGGTGTGGAATGGTCAAACCCAAGAATTCACTGAATATAGAGAAGAGCTGGAGGACATGATGATGTCAAGAGACCGGCTAGTGATAGGGGGGGGACTATATTGCCAGCGTTGGAGACACACAAGAGA